CAATAGCATACGTAACTTGGAAATAAGAAAAAAAAAAATTGCAACTATTCTAGAATATAACAAAACTATAATATTGAAGAGCAAAGATCTATTACCTGGTGAGTGTTCGTCGTCCAAGAAGATGAAGGAAAAGCTATGAGTTATTCTCTATGTCAAAATACACCAATATAAAGAAATAAATAATGATATTGTTTGCTTATATATGGAAAGGAAACGTTAATCATATATTCATTTTACATTTTTTTTAAAAAAAAGTTATGAACAATCTACTAAAATCTAGAAAAGTTACTACAAAGAATCCACAAATTTGGGTAAACAAATTTATTAGAATCTAAAATAATCTTTGAGAATTTTAAAATCTATCAACTTTTGAAATCTACCAACTCTTTTGGAATCATTCTCCCAATACCCCCCCTAAGTCACTATCCCTAATCTATCTCCTCCACAATCAAGGAAAAAAAAAACTGATTTCTCTTCTATTCAAATCCCACATCAGTTTCTTTTATCTATAATCCTCTCCGTTCTTTGTTTCATCTTTTTTTTTTTTTCTATTTCTCCTCTAAAATACATATTCTCTTTAATCTTCTGTTCCATAATTTTTGATCATCTCATCATCGTAGTTATGAAAAAGGAATGGAAAATCAGATCCCTCAACAAAGCAAAAATTCAAGAATCGTCGACAAAGCAAAAAATCATCTACAAAGCAAAAACCATCATCAAAGGTACGTTATTAAATCCAACATGTTACATGTTTAAATCCAATAACTTTGACTAAATCTCTACGAGAGTAAAGTCATATTAATTTGTATTTATTATAGGAAAAAATGTCAAAAAAATCTCCAACTTTCAAATTGTGGACAAAAAAATAATGAACTTTCGAAATGCCATTTAAATTCTAAAGTTTTATTTGACTTTCGGATAAAATATTAAAGTTTCATTGACCAGGCCATTTCGGGCATGACGTTAAATTTCCGTTAACTGAGTTAACATTCTGTTAGAGTTTCCGTTCAACCAAAACGACGTCGTTTTGTTTTTTTTTTAAAACGACGTCGTTTCATTAAAAATAAGAACTAAGTGCGCTCATAAAGGGTTGAACTCATGACCTTTGCACACTTTTTCTCTCACACTTAACCATTGAGCGACAATAACATCAATATATTACACCAAACAAAGATTGTATATAGACAAGAGTTCAAAGCATGTGGAGAGTCCATAAGCTCATGAGTTCGATCCTCTGTGGATACGATTTGAGTCTGAGAAACGGATATTTAATAGAAAATTAGTTATATTAACGGAAATTTAACGTCATGCCCAAAATGGCCAGGTCAATGAAACTTTACCATTTTATCTGAAAGTCAAACAAAACTTTAGGATTTAAATGACATTTCGAAAGTTCATACTTTTTTCGTCCACAATTTGTAAGTTGGAGATTTTTTTGACATTTTTCCCATTTATTATATGTGCACACATACATACTTAGATCAAATATAACATATACATATATTATATTAATCTTTTATTACAAGTGCACAAATATAAATATGTATATATTTCATATATTATACATAATATATTATAATTAAACCAAACGTTTTCTTGATACGGTTTTCTTGATACGTTTTCTTGATACGTTTTCGTGCACAAAGGTTTTTAAAAGGTATTTATACGGTATTTATGAAATATATATATAAATTTACACACATATAAAGATAATTTTATTATTATTATTAATTTAGAGTACTCTTGTTGCAAACGTTACACCACTTATCAGACTTTGATTCAAGTCTCAAATTCTTCAACCTCAAAGAAGTAGCTTCGTAAGTTATCGATTCATACATATAAACAAACTCAACTAGACCCGTAAGTGGCATACTCTTCATATCCGTGAACTTAACTTCTTCAAAGAGTGTAGCTACGTCACCATACCCCCCTGAGAGGGATGATAACACCTTCGTGATAACCTCATAATCTGATTTCACAATTTGCATTCGACGCAACTCTCCAACGATTTCCAAAACTCTATCCAACACTACAAGAAAACATAGTGAATTCCTACGAAAATTCATACAAAATTTTAGGAACGAAATTTTTCCTACCAAAACACTTCGCATTTATTACCAAAACAGCGACGGGTAGGAAAAAAGAAGGAAATTTACTACGAAAAAGCGTGTCAGAAAGTGGAAGGAAATCTTCCTACCAAATTCATATAAATATTATTTTCGAAGGAAATTTGGAAGGAAACGGAGAAGAATAGTGTAGGAAAAAGCGCCGATGGAATTTGGTAGGAATTTTTCCTACCAAATACCTTCAGGTCTATGTTTGTAGGTAACGACGTAGGAAAACGGAAGAGAAAAGGAAGGAAAACATTTTGTAGGAAAGTAGAAGGATCGTCGATTTGTAGGAAATTAGTAGGAATACTTGTTTGTAAGATGTTGGTAGGAAATAAGAAGGTTAACTTTTCTTTGATAATCATAATTTTTGATAATCATAATTTTTGGTAATCATAATAATAAAGTTTGAAGGAAATTATAAAGTTTTCGTTGTTAATCATAATTTTTGGTTTAGTCCCACACATTTACAGTAAAATTATATTAAACTTTTAATATTAAAAAAATTGTTTTCATTCATAATCCTACACATTTACACTAAAATTATATTTAATTTTGAATTTTTAAAAGCACTGTTATGTAAAACTATTATTATTGTATTAATTCCACATATAATTTGGGAATTCCACAATATATTATTATTCACTTATTTCACAAAAATAAAACATGATCCTTCTCTTTAAAATAAAACATAAAACATAGCTTAAAAAAAAATTGATGAAAAAAAAAAAACTTAAAAAGAAAAAAAAAATCCCCAAGTACTTCCCTCGACACCTTCATCTCCTCCCACAGCCATTGTCCTCTCAGATCTATTCCTCCACCATCCCCACCGCTATATGAGGCTGAACCATCTTTTATCTCCACCCCTCTTCTCCCCTCAATATCTTCGTCTACCTTTTGTTCTCAAAACCTAAACCCATCTCATACCCAAACATGATGTTACCTCCCGATACCCTAACATTGGAGTAGAATCCTCCGATTGAACCCATCTCTCTCCACGAGCCAACGTCTTGGAGCGTTATTGTGATGGGCCTATAATATCGGTTCGGCCCGTCCGTACAAGAAGGCCTAATCTACGTTACTTGGATTAGAAGCTAATGGTTTTGGTGTTTTATGTTTTTGGTTTTGATTTAGGTTCTTTGGGATAATTATTCTTTAGGATTGGTGTTATCTCTTTTAATCTCTCCTTATCCTCATAGGACTCAATAGTTCTAGTTCTTGTAATGTTTTACTATATATATTAAAGAAAAGCCAAAAAGAGGTAGTCATAACTACCCATTAAACAAGTCTTGTGTTGTGTTCTTGAGAATCTCTAGATTGGGACCTATTAATTGGTATCTAGAGCCAGAAGTTTTTACTTGGAAGAGAAGAAGTTAGCTTGATTCGGACCGCATCTGTGGTATCAAGTTATGGCGGGTACAAACAAGGAAAGGATCGAGGAGTTGGAATCGGGTGTAACAGATATTCGTGGAGATTTGCTCAAGCTTAACCAAGACATAGCTGACAAATTTCATCGGATGGAGGAGACTCTGACTCGATTAACAGACACGTTAACCAAAGAACGGGACAGTGATAGTACGACAAGAATTGGACCGAGAGGTGGAGATCATGAGCGACAACTGCAACAACGCAGGGACGATGACAATCCAGCGGCGCCAGGGAGAGGAGTGAAACTTGATTTCCCTCGTTTCAAAGGCGGTGATCCTACATCATGGTTTAGCAAAGCTAAACAGTACTTTGAATACCATGGTACCTCTGTTGATCAACGAGTTCGATTTGCAGCTTACCACTTTGATGAGGAAGCCAACGAATGGTGGCAGGCTACAGCTAAAGCCTTACGAGAAGATGGAATTCAGATCACATGGCCAGTGTTTGAAGCAGAAGTTTGGGTTCGTTTTGGTCCAACGGATGGAGATGATTTTGATGAGGCACTATCCAAAATCCGCCAAACGGGAACCCTACATGAATACCAACGAGATTTTGAGAGGTTACAAAACAAGGTGGAAGGATGGACTCAAAAAGCGTTGATAGGAACTTATGTGGGCGGGTTAAACCCACTGATCGCGGATAGCATACGGATGTTCCGACCTAAAACCCTAAAAGAAGTTCTCAACCTAGCACGCCTAAAAGACGAACAGCTACAACGACAAAAGAAGAAGAGTAATGTTGGTTTTACCTTTCGGCCAAATCCATATGCATCGACGACTAAGAGCCCATACACATCACCAATTCGGCTAAATTCGAAGGAAGAAGATCTCTCACGCGGACAGGAAACACTTCCGCGACAGCCGCGAAAGTTAAGCTGGGAGGAACTTAAAAAGAAACGAAGTTTGGGCTTATGTTTCAGTTGTGACGAGAAGTATATACCTGGCCATAAATGCAGACAACCACAAGTTTTCATTATGGAAGGAGAGGATGATGCAGAGGAGGATACTAGTGTAGGGGAGGAAGAAAACAATGAGGAAGTACATGAGATAACGTCTTATGCTCTAACAGGCTGGACCGCACCACAAACATTAAGGTTGAAAGCACGTATTGGCCATAATGAGTTAACCGCCTTGGTAGACAGCGAGTCGACACACAATTTCATAAGTACCAAGACAGCTCAAGATTTACACATTCCTCTCACATCCATTAAACCATTCGATGTCAAGGTAGCTGATGGTAAATCTCTACAATGTACGGGGAAGTTTGAGGTCG